GCCTTCCCTGGCCTGTCCAAGTGCCGGCTTGTCCAGGCTCCCTGCAGCCGCGGGGTGCCCAGGCAAGCCAAGGGAAGGCATGGGGGTGTGGCCTAATAAGCGGTGGTGTCAGGGGTGTGGCCTAATATGCTAATGAGTTTCTGCTGTTGGGTGTGGCTTATTATGCAAATGAGTTCCTGCTGGGCTTTTTCTACAAAAAGGGCCCTGCACACAAGCATCAATCATCACTGGCATCCATGACTTAAACCGTATAGTCCAGACTATTCTGTTTTGCATTTCGTGAGGGTGGAAAGTACCATCAAATTGCAGCTGATTTATTGTGACCCTGTGGGGTTTTCAAGGCAAGAGACGTTCAGAGGTGGTTTGCCATGGCCTGCCTCTGCGTCACAGCCCTGGTATTCCTTGGAGGCCTCCCATCCAAATACTGACCAGGGCTGACCCTGCTTACCTTCCAAGATCTGACGAGGCCAGGTTAGCCTGGGCCATCCAGTTTAGGGCAGAGACAAACAGAGGTGGTAGCAATTGTTCCCTCTAAGCTGAGTTAGTATGAGCTAGCTCACAGTTTTTAAGCCTCCGGCTCACACATTTTTGTCTCAGCTCAGGAAAGGTGGCTCCAGAGCAAACTAATTTATACAGCAGCCCAATTGCTCACTCACAATTTTAATGGCAGTAGCTCACAAAAGTAGATTTTTTTGCTCACAGGACTCCACAGCTTAGAGGGAGCATTGGTAGCAACCCTGCATAGCAACCCAGGGCCGACCAGGGGTCCTTTCGTAGAAAAAGAGCTAGGGGAACTCATTAGCATAACTCATTAGCATATGCCACACCCCCTGACATCAGGGGCCTGGCGGTGGACCTGCAAGGCCAGCGGGAGTGCGAGGAAGCCCCGCCAAGGCCCTCCCTGGCCCCAGGCAGGCAGGGGTGGGGAGAGGCGGGGAGGAAGCAACTTACCCTCCCTCTTAGGGGGGCCTTCGTCATGTGCCCCCGCCCCCACACCTCACCCAGGGGAACTGCGATCCCCCTGATCCCCCCCCCGAAATGACCTCTGGGGCCGACCCAGTTTAGCGGCCGAGATCTGATGAGATAGGACTCGCCTGCATTTATAGTTATCCGAAACAGCTGTAAGCACTAGAAAATTGCAAGAGTCCAGTAACATCTTAAGTATGTGGCAGGGTATGAGTGAGTCACCGCTCACTTCTTCAGATACAGCTAGAAACTGTAAGCACTGTATTTGGAAGATTCTAACTACAAAGCAGTCATGCCGTGCCAAGTTTATACCTCTTTATAGGATTTGTAGGAACAGTCGTGCCTCGTGTTTTAAACACAGGAAGAATTAATTTGCACCCACTGTGCTTCCTAAACCTCAGAAATGTTTTTTATTGCAAGTAACAAACAGAATGGTAATAGATACAGTAAAAATATCAGAAACCCAAATAACACAGCTAATATCATAGTAAATCTCAATATATTGACCCAGATAGCTATTAACGTGATTTCCCCCCCCCCAGTTTAATATTCTCCTGTGGTTTTACCATATTCTAGTACACAATAAAAGGCCTCCGTCTTTGACTAAAGGCTGTCTCCATGAAAATGAACATTCTCTGTCCCTTAGTTGTCTGTACATTGCACACTTGCCCATCAACATGATGAACAAAAGTGTTCTGAACAATGTATCTGAGGAAGTGTGCATGCACACGGAAACTTATACCCAAAATCAGGGCTATTTTTGGGCAAGAACGCACAGGAACGATGTTCCGGCTGGCTCCCGAGCTGGCCATGCCCAGCAGGAACTCATTAGCATAACAGGCCACACCCAACAGCAGGAACTCATTAGGATTGGCTACATTAGGGGTGTGTGGCCTAACATGCAAAGGAGTTCCTGCTTCAAAAAAAAGCCCTGGGTTTTGACAACAAACAAGGTAAACAGAATAAGAAGCAAAAGGTGGGTGTGGCTGGATGACCACACTTCTGGTAACATGGGGGTGTGGCCTAATATGCTAATAAGCTGCGCTGTCAGGGGTGTGGCCTAATTTGTTAATGAGTCTGTTGCTGGGTGTGGCCTAATATGCTAATGAGTTCCTGCTGGGCTTTTTCTACCCAAAAAGCCCTGCCCAAAATTAAACTTTGTTGGTCTTAAGAGGTGCCACTGGACTCAAACTTTGTTCTGTAACATTTCCCAAGACAACTTTCTAGTGAGGGTACTGACTTCTGTTTCCAAAATGTTGCCAAAAAAATTCTGGAACCTCAGAATAATATTCATGGTTTGGTCAGCCTTTAGTCCCATTGCTTGAAAAAGGTTGTGTCAACTATTGGTTTTGGGGAAATGAATCCCCAAGAAGCAGTCAGAAGAGGACGTCTGTGCAAACCCATGCTCACCAGTTCTCTACGTCTTGAAGTTCTCCTGCCAAAGATGACCACCACTTGGTTTATTGTACTTGATAATAATCTGTTCCTTCCCCCGATAACTCACCAACAGCAGTTTTCTTAGCCCAACTGCATCATGACAGAGTAGGACCATATCAGCTGTTTTTAGAGAAGTACAGATAATTTTTGAGACCAGCCACAGGGATTGGATAAGGCTTTCATCCTTTACTTCTGAGGTGTCATCTATATAAAGTGGTGAAAAGGCTGTCCTGTTTTATTCCCTGGAAAACAGAGTATTCTCATTGATCTCATCTGTACAGGCTGTTCAAATTAGAACTGAGAGTTCTGAAAGAAGGAGGAATCAGATAGCTGAGAATTTAGCAACAATTTTTTATTCCCAGAGTGGAACACAATATTTGAATCTGTCAGGGACGGAGAAAGGTACCTGGCCGTTGTGACTCATTCACAATGTGAAACATCTAAATTTGATATGGATTTAAAGAATGCGGGAAAGAGAAGATGGGGAGGAGGCATGGGGGACGGAGGAACTTAGGCAGATCATGAGAGGGAGGTCAGGAAGGGAGGAGCCAATGCCTGGCTCTCATGGCCCTTTCTTACATGCCCAGGGTAATGCCAGTTGCCACTTTGGGTTCAGGAAGGAATTTTCCTCCAGGCCAGATTAGCCTAGGGGATCCTTGAGGTTTTTTGCCTTCCTCTAGGCATAGAGCTGCGGTGGCTCAAGTGGTTAAGACGCTGAACTGCAGGCTGTGGAAGGTCGGTAGTTCAGCAGTTCAAGACCCGAGTGTGCCGCATGACGGAGTGAGCTCCCGACTCTAGTTCCAGCTCCTGCCAACCTAGCAGTTCGAAAGCAAGAAATTGCAAGTAGATAGATAGGCACCACTCCAGTGGGAAGGTAACAGCATTCCGTGCACCTTGGTGTTTAGTCATGACGGCCACATGACCACGGAAACGACTTCAGACAGCGCTGGCTCTTCGGCTTTGAAACGGAGATGAGCACCGCAACCCTAGAGTAGGACTCGACTGGCTTTCGAGCAAGGGAACCTTTACCTTTTCTTTAGGCATAGAGCAGGGGTCACTGGGAGAGTGTGTGAGGGAGCAGTTGTGAATTTCCTGAGTTGTGCAAGGGGTTGGACTAGATAACCTTTGAGGTCCCGTCCAGCTCTATGTTTCTGTGAGTCATGAGAAATCTGCATTGAGAATGGGCATGCGCAGTCAGCTTTTTTACATAACTGAGAACCTACACAAATGGTTTGGATGCAAGAAATTTCTTGAATGTTCAGCTGTGCTGATTCCAAGTTGTAGTCTGCAGGTGAACAAAACACTCAGATGGTCAAGTGACCGGGTCAACAAAAGTGTTATTGGTCAACAAAAGATGCTCTTATGTCCCCGTCACATGGGCCGGATATCGCGGGGGGGGGAGGCGTGGGTAATTGCCCTGGCGCAGTTTGATCCGCGATTATGCGATCAGATGTGCCTGCGGCACCCCACGGGTCCTTCCCTTGGCGGCGCCGGCGGGTAAACGAGGGTGGCGATCACACGACGATCCTGCAGCACAGCAAAGGAAGGTTAAATAAAATAAATAAAATAAATCACACCAGCAATGGCTAGGTGCCGTTGCCGTGACAAACAGGGTCATTTTTTTAAAGCCGAAATGGCACTTTCGCTTTCCTTTTTGTGTGCATGCACCGTTGGGTGCTTGTGCGCATCTTGTGGAGACTTGGGAAAAACAAAAACCTGTTTGCGAAGGGACATGGGCGGGCGCCCGATGCCACCACCGGAAACACGATCAGATGCCAGCCCTTGCCCTGCGGTTTCCGGAAACTAGTACCTTGGAGGTACTAGTTTTTAACTCTGCATCTTCGGCGGGAAGCCTCGGGTTCGCCACGGGAGCTCTACGCTTCCCAGATGTTGCGGTGTGATCGCGCCTGGAAAATCCGACTATCTTCCGTCTCTGTAGCGTGGCTAATGCTCCGTTTGACCACAGCCTTAGATGTCTTTTCCTTTCAGTCGCATTATTAAGAAATAATCAACTATAAACCAGTATCCAATGTTGAGAACCTTGATGAAAATCCAATATATTCCATAGAGAAAATATCAGTCTCTCTCCTGTCCTTCAACCAGTGTAAGAGAATTTCATCCAACACCATTCTATTAAGCTGATTGGTCAGTTCGTTACTAGGCGGATTTTTTAAAAATGTTACTTTTATGGGCACTGTTTGCTCAGTCAACAATGCCCAGCACCTATGCAGGGGAATTCCAAATATGATATCTGCTTGCACAAACATACTTAATGGTATTCAATACTTAAAACCTTCTCAAAACCCAGCTTGTGCCTAGGGGAAAATCAATATTTTGTTCAGCCCTCTAACTGGTTTCGGGGAAATCGATCCTACATCCTTATGACAAAACCAATTAAGCCCGTTGTTTTATCTTTATTGATATGGTTTTTACTTCCTTGACAAAATCCGCTTCCTCTATAAACTATGGCTGGCAGCATATTGGTCAGTTGTGGCTGCATCCCCCAGATGCTGCCTGGTTGCACAGTAGGCGCGGCATGACTCTTAAATATACTCAAACACATTAGTCTTCAGTCTGAGGATAAGAGAGCAGCCAGGATGGAGACCTTCTGTGCTTTCCTCCTGCTGGCAGCAGGTAGGTTGAGAACTGTCAAATCAGACCTTGGCTATTAGCATAGGACAGGTTGCTCTTTAGCTGAGTGAAATGTGAGGTTCGCCTTGGGGACTGATATGGTCTGATGAACGGTCTGCAGCTGGGAGGAGACATCCTTGGGCCTTAAAAGAGTCTTTAATCCACCCACAGAAGATATATTGGCAACTGGGTGTTTAAGTGAGAGGAGGGGCTGTGGCTCAGTGGTAGAGCATCTGTTCTGTAAGCAAAAGATCTCCTGTTCAGTCCTTGGCCTCTCCAGTTGAAGGGATCAGGTAAGAGGTGGTATGAAAGACTGTCACCAGAGACCCCGGAGAGCACCTTTTGGGTCTGAGGAGACAAGGCTGACACTGGCCCCGGTCACACGGCCGGATATCGCGTGCGCGCGGGGGGGGGCGTGGCTAATTGCCCCGGCACAGTTTGATTCGCAATTACGCGATCAGACGCGCTGGCGGCACACCATGGGCAGTGTTCCCTCTAAGCTGAGTTAGTGTGAGCTAGCTCATAGTTTTTCAGCCTTCGGCTCACACATCTTTGTCCTAGCTCAGGAAGGAGGGCTCCAGAGCAAACGAATTTATGCAGTAACCAAATTGCTTGCTCACAACTTTAATGCCAGTAGCTCACAATGTAAAATTTTTGCTCACAAGACTCCATAGCTTAGAGGGAACTTTGATCATGGGTCCTTCCCTCGGCGCTGGCGCGGTAAACGAGGGGAATGCCACGTGCCGGCGTGATCACACCATGGACGTCTGGAGGCAGCCCGTGGCAAACGTTTACTCGTACCTTGGAGGTACTAGTTTTTTAACACGCATTGTCGGCGGTAAGCCACAGGTGCGCTCCACTTCACAGATGTTGGGGTGTGATCACACCCGGATAATCCGCCCACCTTCCGTACCTCTCCCGCGGCAACTTTGCCGTGTGCCCTTGATAGACCAATGGCCTGATTCAGTGTTCTGTGACTGTTGGACACACAAACCTTACAGTAGAAACTGTTGACATTGTGATTCAATGATTCCCTGAGTGCGTGTGTTCATGCATATGAAACTGCTGTCAGACTTGATGTCCCTTTTTATTGCTATTTCTTTAGGATCAACCCTGACTTCTGCCCAGAATCCAACAGGTATGTTGCTGCTGAGTCGAGGTCTGAATGCTATTGGAAAGAATAATGGAGGTTGGCCTTTGGGGGGTTTATATAAGTTGGGGGACATTGCATCCTGCGAAAAATCAATTCAAGCAGAGACTTCAGGTTCCTTGTAGCAACTGAGCTGTGCATAAACCCCCAGGGTAGTCCTATGGTAAAACAAAAACCAATACTATCCTTGGGTTTACATATAGCAAGATAATGGGGTGGATCCTACCCCTATCCTAACCACTTCACTGAGCAAAGTTTATTGTTTAAAAAATCTATATAACTGTCTGTCTGTCTATCTATCTATGTTATCTATGTTATCTATCTATCTATCTATCTATCTATCTATCTATCTATCTATCTATCTATCCATTCCTTTTGCCTCAAGTGTGAAGCTGTCATCCAGTCTAAGGAGGCTTCCTTCAAATTAAATGGCTCTTCCATTGGAGGAAGAGCTATAGGCTTTGGGGAAACAATTGCCAGGTACTGGTGACCCTCCTTTCAAAGAAATAATAAGAGGTATTCTGTGGAAAGTTCAGGACCAAGGAAGTTAAACATGAGGGGGTTGGATCTGGCAGAAAAGGGCACAGAAGGAGCTGACAGAAAGGATCTTTCCCCACCTCCTCCGAGCACCCTGCTGTTTGATTCCCCACTCCTCCACTTGCAGCTGCTGGATGACCTTGGGCAAGCCGTAGTTCTGATAAGAGCTGTCCTTGAAAGGGCAGTTCTTGAAAGAGCTCTCTCAGCCCCACCTACCTCACAGGATGTCTGTTGTGGGGAGGGGAAGAGAAAGAAGTTTGTAAGCTGCTCTGAGACTCTGAGTGAAGGGTGGGGTATGAATCCAATCTCTTCTTCTTCCTCTTCTTCTTCCTCCTCTTCTTCTTCTTCCTCCTCCTCCTCCTCTTTGGGGACTGGAAGAGCCTCACGGGCACAAATGTTCTAAAATGGTTGGAGGAATGGTAGCGGTCTAGATGTGGCAATGTGTCATTCTGAATTCCTTCTTGAACCATACAGCAACTAATAGGAGAAATAGTAGAAATAGATCTGAAGCTAGAACCAGAAATATACTTGCTTAGTATGTTGCCAGAAGGGATTAAATATAACGATTTGTGTGTGATACTGTATATACTTACTATCACTAGAATTCTTTTAGCTAAATGCTGGGAATCAGAAAAAATACCAGGTAGAGAAGAGGTGATTACAAAAATTATGGAAATTAAAGAAATGGATAAACTAAATATGATTCTGTTGGCAAAAGAAGAAAATGTGTTTTAAAAAAGATGGCAGAAACTAGATAGATGGATGGGAAAAAATGTGTAAAGAATCTCCAAAATATACTCTGTATTAAGAATTTGTTTTTTGTAATTTTGTTTTGGAAAGTAGATAAATAAACTATTTTTTTTAAAAAATGAATTCCATCTTGAAAATCGCATCTGCGAAAACCATGGTGTTTTCCATGAATGGCAAGAAAGAAAAGAAGATGGCACAGGCATGGATGGTGGGCGATTCTGCATTGGCTTTTCCCTCCATTTTTTTACAAAACCCACCCCTTTGCATTGCATCCTGCTTTCACTTCTTTTGATCATCGGGTTTTTTATGGTACCTTCTGCATAGATTTATGGCCGTTCAGGGGTGACTTTGTAGTAATTAAGGCGTTGCCCTGAGGTATTTGAATGTGGTTTTGAGCTGCACCTTTTCCTCTGTATTGAGAAATGTGGAGCGAATGCCAGGTGCAAAATCACCTGGTATCACACTTTATTGCTACATTTTATTCAAGGGGGGGGGAAGCCTGCGCAAGTCTACTCAGAAGTAAATCCTGTTTTATTCAACAGTGCTTACTGACAGAAATACGTCCTCATAACGGCAGCCTCCTTCTCCAAAATGGCTCTCTTAGAGAAACTAGCTGCAATAGATCTAAGTAAGGTTTTTCCTCCTGATTTTAGGGTCCTTGATGTATCCTTATGGGACATCTCAAGGAGACAGAAAGAATGACAAGATAGATGACGGATCTTCTGCTGAGATCACCATTTCAACTCCTTTCACCTTTTATGGCAAGCCATACCGCTCTCTCTATGTATGTAATATCCGGACAGAATGAACCCCCTCCTTCGCGCTCCGCTCCCAAATCTTGTTTTTTTTATATAGCCTTTGAAGGAGGCAAGATGGATTGTCATTTAGTTGGGTAGGATGATCAGGGTTTAACCATGTGAGGGCTTTCTATTCCAGAAAGGCCACAACTTGCTTTATAAATATGAATAATAACCTCTGTTTTTTAAAAATTTTATTATTAAAAATGCAAATACAAAGGCATATTAAACAATTATTTACAAATCACTTATGACAGGATTGTAAGGTCATGGCATCAGAATGTCGTATGCAAAATCATTCATAATTAGGGTCAATTAATTTTAGAGACATTTTAGCACCTCCTCGTTAATTGAAACTTAATGGAGTATGCACATTCCAAAATTTAATAAAAGGAGACCTAATTTTTATAAATTTGTCTTGAGTCCAAGTCCTGGACTCCTTTCCTCATCCCTATGTATTTCAAAGTTCTAATCTCTACTTTCCCTCTCTGTTTTTCCCCTGTGAATGTAGATAAAGTAAACTGTAAGTAGGTTGCCTGCACTGCCTTGGGAAATGCCAGGAGGTTTTGAGGGCACAGCTGATCTGTACCACTTCTAGTGAGCTATTTATCTATCCTTATCCTCACTGATACCATTCACCTATCTCTCTGATCCCTGGTGTGGTCATGTTTGGTGTGAGAGACTGACAGTATATTCCTAACACTTCTAGTGAACTATTTATCTATCCTTATCAGGGCTCTTTTTGTAGAAAAAGCCCAGCAGGAACTCATTAGCATAATAGGCCACACCCAACAGCAAAATCCATTAGCATATTAGGCCACCCCCCTGAGAGCACAGCTCATTGGCATAATAGGCCACATCCCCATGTTACCAGAAGTGTGGTCATCCAGCCACACCCACCTTTTCTGTTTGCCTTGTTTGTTGTCAAAACCCAGGGCTTTTTTGTAGCAGGAACTCCTTTGCATGTTAGGCCACACACCCCAATGTAGCCAATCCTAATGAGTTCCTGCTGTTGGGTGTGGCCTATTATGCTAATGAGCTCCTGCTGGGCATGGCCAACTCGGGAGCCAGCCGGAACTCCGTTCCTGTGCGTTCCTGCCCAAAAAGAGCCCTGCTTATCCTCACTAATACTGTTCACTATCTCTCTCACCCCCTTCCTGTATATAAACTGCAATGGTGTAATCACATTTGGTGTGAGAGTCTCACAGCACACTCCTAACACTTCTAGGCTGTGGTCAGACGTGCCTTTAGACCCAACTCAGCTGCAAATGCCTGATAGATCTAAAGGGCACAAGCAGACAGCAACATCTGGGAAAGGTCCCACAGCCATTGGCACCTCGTGCTGCCCTGCCATGGAAGCAGAGTTAAAAGACACTGGGGAAAGTCTGGTCCTAATGTTTGCAGATGGGCAACGGACAGACTTTCCCCTGTCTGATCACTCAAGCGGCCCATTCCATCCCAACTCGGTGCCGTTTCCCCCCCCCCTCACTTAGCAGTAGGCACATAACCGCATATTCTATGGGGAACCCTCCATGCAGAAGTTCAATTCCTTGTTTATGCGCATGGGAAACAAAAGGCAACCACCACCACCCCCCGCCTACTCGCCTGGACATGGCATCTGATTGCTCAGTGACGGGCAGAGGAGCCCACAGCACAAAGGGATGTGTGCTTGCGTGACTGCAAGTCAAATTCCACCAGAGGTAACAGGAGTGCTTCCCCTCTGCGCCAAATGGCACATATGACCACAGCCCTAGTGAACTATTAATCTATCTTTACCCTCACTAAAGGAGCTGCGGTGGCTCAAGTGGTTAAGACGCTGAACTGCAGGCTGTGGAAGGTCAGTAGTTCAGCAGTTCGAGACCCGGGTTGCTGCGTGACAGAGTGAGCTCCCGTCTCTAGTTCCAGCTCCTGCCATCCTAGCAGTTTGAAAGCAAGAAATTGCAAGTAGATAAATAGGTACCACTTTGGTGGGAAGGTAACAGCGTTCCGTGCGCCTTGGTGTTTAGTCATGCCGGCCACATGACCACGGAAATGTCTTTGGACAGCGCTGGCTCTTCGGCTTTGAAACGGAGATGAGCACCGCAACCCTAGAGTCGGACTCGTCTGGCTTTCGAGCAAGGGAACCTTTACCTTTACTTTTTATCCTCACAAACACCATTTGCTTTTCCCTTTGACCCCTTTCCTGCAGGTAAACAACAACGGTGTGGTCTCGTTTGGTGTGAGAGTCGCACAGTACACACCTGACCCTTTCCCGCTGAGTGGTGGGTCACCCTTTGTGGCTCCATACTGGGCCGATGTCGACAATCGGAAAGGTGGGGATATTTTCTGGAGGCAATCTCAGGATCCCAGCTTGCTTAGGTGCTGCACCGAAGACATCAATAAGTACTTCCCTGGTGTCCCATTCACTGCCGTCTGGGCCTTCGTTGCTACCTGGGACCGTGTGTATTATTATGGGTCTACTTCAAGCAAGGTAGTCCTCTTCTTGACTGGTATCCTGTGATATGCTGTAAATGCTCTCCCAAATGTATGGCAGCTATTGAACTATGAATAACTTCCTTGAGCAGGTGGAAAGGATCAGATCACCTGGGAAGAAGCTCAGCTTGTAAGCCTTCCTTATGGAAGTGATACACCAGAGATGGAGCTGATTCCATAGGACAGAATGCACGTGGCCACTCTTGCTTATGTTGCTGAGTTTTTAAATGTTCCCTAAGCCTAGAGGTTAAGAATGCAGAACAGCAGACCAGAAGGTCTGTAACTCAGCAGTTCGAGACCCTAGTACCGCGTGACGGAGTGAACTCCTGCCAACCTAGCAGTTCAAAAGCAAGAAATTGCACGTAGATAAATAGGTACTGCTTTGGTGGGAAGGTAACAGTGTTCTGTGCGCCTCGGCATCTAGTCATGCCGGCTATGTGACCACGGAGAAGTCTTCGGACAGCGCTGGCTCTTTGGCTTGGAAATGGAGATGAGCACTGCCCCCAGAGTCGGATTCGACTGGCTTTCGAGCAAGGGAAACCTTTACCTTTATCTTTTTAAGCCTAATGGGAGTCTTTTATGACTGTGGTTCCCATTGTGGCCAGGAAATAATTCATAGGATGCCTGCAGAATCTCTAGCACACTGTTGGTTTGATTCTAACCCCACTTCTTGGCGCAGACGGATCCTCGAAGCACCTTATATAAAATATCAACATTAATATTTAAACGGAAGCTTCTTCCATAGACAACTTCCCTTGTGCCTGCCAAGTGGTTTTAGAAAGTGGGTGGGGCTTTTCCCCAGCAAGGCGTCTGATTGGCCATTGGAGGTTTGATTGGCTGTGCAGGTTTTTAAAGAACCATTGCTTCGGCAACAGCTGCAATGCTCACAGTTGCCACAAGAGGGCTGTCCTGTGATTCTAGAGACTGGGCTGGACCTATCTGATGGGATTTCTGTCAGCACAGAATGGGGCTTTCTCACCTCCTTGATCTTGTGGCAGCTCAGAGTACTCCCTGAAATGCTGTTCCTGGGGCAAGGGGACCCACAGGAATTGCATGTAGGAGGAATCGGCAGTGGAAGGAGGGATTCAGCAGAAATCCCTCTGCTTCTATGTAATGCATTGAGAAAATGTCTCCGCATGTGATCTTTCCCCACATTTTAGGACCCCCAAATACTGTTAAGAACATAAGAAGAGCCCTGCAAGATTGATGCCAGATTCTGATACACAAATCTGTGCCCTGTGTGACCCTTTGGCCGAATTAGACTCACACAGTTGGAGTCCAAAGAGTTAGACACAGAGGTCATTTCAGGGGGGATCACGGGGGATCGCAGTTCCCCCGGGTGAGGTACGGG